ATGAGCTCTGAAACCTGACTGAAACTCTTCAAATAAGCCATTCCTCTGCAGATGATCTGTTGGCTGTTTGACAACTACTCTTTCAAGGATGTTTGATATAAATGAAGGTTGGAGATTGGCCTATAATTAGCTAAGACTGCTAGGTCTAGAGATGCTTTTTGAGTAAAGGTTTAACTACAGCCAGCTTTCTGGGTATGAGAACCATGCCTGAACTATGTGGGACCCGATGTCTCTAATATTATGCTACAAGGATTTTTCTTGAGTGTTCAAACTACATATTATCACTGGGACCGCAGGTATTGTATTGTTTCGATGGATCTGAGCTTTTGTTCTGTGTTTGGTTTTTGATTTGTTTCTTTGTTTTTTGTTTTGTCTTTTAGTGCCATGAACTGTACACCATATTATATTATGTAATTATGGGTTGTTTGTGAAAATGAAAACTAATAAAAATATTGTTAAAAAAAAATACAGCCAACTTGAAGGCCTGTGGTACATAGCCAATTTTTAGAGATAGGACTTCTTTGAGCAGTCTTGCATAGTATTGTTTGTAGGTATGCTGCGTGTATTTATTTACTTCTGCCCTGCCGTCTACTTTGCTACTGTACAGTGTGAATTTCACATATCTGGGAATAATAAAGACTATCTTATTGTATCAATCATCAGCTGTTGTTGTAATTATTTTATTGATATTGTTTCAGTGAGTCTCTTATGATGGCTGAGTGAAAATACTTCCCCCTGCTGGTTAAAGTCAAGTACTAGACACGAATAAAGACAGTTTTATTCTGATTAATTCTAAAATGATTCTTTTTCAACTCATATTTAAACTCTGAGAAACCCTGATATCAGCATTATTAGTCATTATTCATCATCACTAAGACATGATTGATACTTCTGATTCATCTGATCTGTTTCTTTTTTTAATTTCACCTTAATTTTACTGACCTCTTAACTTGCTGACTTTCATATTGAATAGATAACTAATGGGTTATAGGTTTTTGTGAAGGTGTTCTATTATTTTGTTTCCTGGAAATAAAAATAAACAACTGGCAGTCTGATTGGAAAGCTCTTTTTTTATTGATCATTTCAGTTTGCTGTGTCTGTGCTTCATACCATGGATAGTCAATAACTGATCAGATTTGATTGGCATTTGTTTTATCAGGTCAGCAGATTATTTACTTGCTGCTTCCACCATTCTTGCTCCTCTGGTCTCCATAATGATACAAGTAATGGAAGTTGGCTCGCATGTGCTGGGTTTCCATGGAAACCATCACTCTGCTCCTGTCTACAGATGTGTTAAAACCATGATGGCGAAACATCCCGCTCTGCAGCATTAGCTCCAAAATCTGACGGGATGTCGCTGCAAAGCAAGTCTGGAACACAGAGACGTTTAAATAACCTCAAAACAACAGTCGCCTCAAGGTGCTTTATATTGTAAGGTCGACCCTACAATAATAGATACAGAGAAAAACCCAACAATCATATGACCCCCTATGAGCAAGCACTTTGGTGACAGTGGGAAGGAAAAAAACCTCAGGCAGAACCAGGCTCAGG